TCTTTTTTAATCAAATAGAGTAATCATTTTCTGTGTTTTGGGTTTTTTTCCTTTCTTTCTTTGTTTTGAAAGACACTTGCTATACTTCGCTGAAACCTGAGGGACCTAACTCCTCAAGGTTTGTTGTTTGTGCTGGCGTCAGTCCAACGCGCTCATCTGGGTGAGGTCACCGTTTGTGAGAACACGAAGGCACTAACTGAGGCCTTTGCAAAGCCTTCCTTAGCAGTAGCCAGTGTCTTACACTTAACCCCAGCTACCCGAAGGCTGACATCTGAGGACCAGCCTGGGAAGGTCTATGAGAGTCTTACCTTCAGTTAACTAGCAAAAAGCCACAAGTGGAGTTACAGATCAAATGGTAGAGTGCCAGCCTTGAGTAAAAAAGCTCAGAGACAGCTTCCAGGCCCTGGGTTCAAGTCCTAGGACCAGCACAAAATAAAATAATGAAGCCATCCTTTAAAAAAGCATTTCTGAGTTGGGCAGCAGTGGCTGTCTATATTCCTAGCAACTCTGGAGGCTGAGGTCTGAGTCTTCAGTTCAGAGCCAACCCAGGCAGAAATGTCTGTGATACTCTTATCTTCAATTAACCACCAAAAAGCTGGAAGTGGAGTTGTGGCTCAAGTAGTAAAGTGCCAACATTGAGCACAACAGCTCAGGGACAGTGCCAGACCCTGAGTTCAGCCCTAGGAGCAGGAAAAAAAAATGTCTGTCTGTTGGTCCTGGGTGCCGGCATGGTTCTGACTCACCTGAGGTCCACCGTTGCTGGCTGGGCTTCTGCACTGCTCAGTGAGCTGTGTGTGTGCGTGCCCGTGTGCATGCACGTGTGTGTGTCTGTGTGTGTGTGTGTGTGTCTTTTTCCCTTCACCTTTACCCTGATTCTCCTCTCCCCACTTCTCTGTCCTTTGACTGAGTCAAGCAGTGCTTGTAGCAGAATCGAATAGCTCCTCTTACCTGACACTGTGCCGCACCAGGAAGGAGCAGCCCAGAGAGAAGAGTGAGCGTAGTGGGTAAGGGTTGCTCCGCCGCCCCTGTCAGGGAAGTGTTCCCTTCCCCTCCCTCGGGGTAGTCGGTCACCACTGCAGGGCCAAAGTTTAGGCCAGAACCCAAGATTCCTAACTTCAAACCCTAACTACGTTGTACCACACAGGAAATGTTCCGTGAAATGCCCACTGTACTAGGAAAGGGCCTAGAATGAAGTGGAGAGATGCGCTGAGTTCTGAATGGGGTCTTGGAGAGTCCTACACATGGCCCTCGGTGAGTTCACTGTGCCAGCTTGAGGTGGCAGGGAGCTGGGCATGGCCCGGCCCGGGGCTCTGGGCCACAGAGTCGGTCCCTTGTTAGCTCCACTCTGTGCCTTTGGGTGTTTCCCTCTCCAGGTGACTTGAGACAAGTTCAGCCGTTGCAGCAGTGTTTAATACACACACAATTGACATTCAGGTTGGAATTTGAGGAGAATGCTGCCTAGAAGATAGGGACATAAATAGATTGTCATTTGGAGATTGTGTTGTTCCTTTCATCTGTACTTTATCTAGAGATAGCATTGAGTCTTTCAGACTTGGCTAGTCCTTCTGCATCCTCACAGCTCTGAAAGACGCACTGAAAACCCCGGCTGCGGCTGCGCAGAGACACCTTCCCTAGAATCTCTGCAGCTTTGAGAATGTCTTTGCTGTCTTGGATTGTCATCTTCTGTTTCCACACTCGTGGTATCCTCTTGGCATCAGGACGTCCGTGCTCCATTGCCCACCTCCTAAGGGACCCCAGGAAGCTATTTCCCAAGGCATTCGCTGTGTTTACCATCCAAGCTTTCACTTGGAACATTGTGCAATGCTTCTTTTTGTCACAAATGAGAACAATTGGGCTGGGAAGGTGGCCCAGTGGTAGAGCGCTTGCCTTGCATGCCTGAGGCCCTGGGTTCGATTCCTCAGCACCACATAAGCAAAAAAAAGTGGTGCTGTGGCTCAAGTGGTAGAGCGCTAGCCTTGAGCTGAAGAGCTGAGGGACAGCGCCCGGGCCCAGAGTTCAGGCCCCACAACCGAACCCAAAAAAACAAAACAAAACAAAAAAAAAAAAAACAAATGAGAACAATTCAGATTACTTAATTGAAGCTTTGTGGATTTGCATCGAGTGAAACCAGTGTCCAAAGTATTATCTGCATTTTGAGATGCTGACTTCATTGGTTAGTCACGGTGTACTTAACATAATGGTGTAGTCAACAGATAGCTATTTTTTTTCTCAGAGGAAACCCATAAATTGTTAGGATCAGTGTACATCATGTACAAAACTGTGAAAAAAAAATGCATCTTTCCTGTAACACTTTCCCTCCTCACTTTTGTGTTCAGCCTCTACAGTGGGGCCTCCCTTTTGAATACATGGGCTTCTGTAGAAGTGTATAAGTAAATGTGATATGCGGAACTATTGCTGTGTGTCTCCTGCATTAGTGTATCCCCTATTCCTGTAAACTAATCTATGTTTAACAAACATTTATTGAAGACCCAGTATGTGCCAGGCCCTGTACTACATTCTAGGAAAACCAAAATCACTTTATCCTGGCCCCTGTTTTCAAGGAGTTTGCAGTCTATGGAGAAGAAAAAATGTAATCCAAACCTTAGAAAGCCGTGGTGTGGCTGAGAATACAGCCAGTGGTGGGTCGCTTGCTCCACATGCCCCAGGCCTGAGGTCCATGCCCAGGCCGCCCTGGGCACACAGCGGGCGATCTGCAGCATGTCTGGGTAGGAGAGTAACACTGCAGAAGGGGAGGGAATGAGCTTGGGTGTTTTCAGAAGAGAGGACCCTAGATTAAGACTTTGAAGGATGTCTAGAATCTCTAGACCCAAATGTGGAGAGTTCAGATGGCTGCCGGCCTTTGCAGAGGTGCAGTCGAGCTGCACAGTGTGTTAGGAGTCTCGGGAAGCTTGTCTCAGTAGCACCCTGAAGGTGTGTCCACTGCTTAAGCTTATTCCCAGGCCGGCACCTAGTTTACGTGTAGGACGGAAGTCTGGTTTGTGCAGGGCAGCGTGTCTATCTCTTAGCAGAAGGGGCCCCAAGACTATTTCTCTTCCCTCCCAGCACAACCGCTCGTAGCTTTTGCCTGTGTGCAGTAGCTGGTGTCTGTTGAATGGCTCTCCTGTTCTTGCTCTGTGTTCCCCGAGGCACCCGCCGGAGGAGCTGGCTGCGGTCGGTGCTTGTACCCTGGGTAACCCATCTAGACTTGTTTCTTCTGTTTTCCAGTCCTGCTTGTCTGCTCAGCTCTCTTCCCCCTCACGTCCCTCTAGGTCAGCGGACATATCAGGTGCGCTGGAGGCTCCTGTTTCCTGGGTCGCTGAGCCCGTCGGTTAGGAGTTGTTTGCGTCAAGGGACCACAATTTTGAGATGCTCCCTGTGGGGCGGGCAGCAGGCAGGAACTAAGGCCTAAGAAAGATGCGGTGATTTGCCTGCGGTCACACAGCTGGTGGAGGGAGGCTGGTAATGGGACTCTATTTCAGCTCGGCTTTGCCTCTGCCTGTGCCCACGGTGGAGCCAGGAGCGGTTGTCCTGACCTCCAGGTCCAGAGGCCCTGTCGCCTCGCTTCTCAGTCCCTAATTGCTTCAGTGGCAGCTGTGTGTCCACGTTACTTATGACCTCTGTGGCCCCCTCACCCCTCACACACAGGCGCCTCCGGTGTGGCGGCCGCCCACCGTGACACTGCCGTCCACGAGCCTAGCTGTGCCCCGTCCCCTCCCTCGCCACACCCTCCAGCCCGCGCCTGGAACCCCAGAGCCGTCACACTTGAGCTTTCACAATGTCCTCCTTCCCAAAGGGGGTGGCGGATGTCCTTCCAGAGCTGAGCCTCTCGCTTATCCAGGGTCAGGCCTCTGCGGTGTTCACTCGTTCCCGCAGTGCCCAAACCTGTGGAGGGAGCTCATTGGCCGGCTTTGACCGGCCGGGGCGGCGGGGCCAAGGTCTCGCGAGCATGCCCAGGTGCTTTGTGTGCTCCTCGATGCCGTCCAGTGGGCGCCAGGCAGCTCTGGGCTGAGACCGGGTGACCACCAGGGAGGCGAGGACATTCCAGAACATGGCGCAACCTGGGCCCCCGAAGGCCTGAGGAGGAGCCCGGGAGTTTGGAGAGCAGAAGGGGGGCAGGGCCTAACGAGCAGGATAGGGCAAGGCTCAGTTCTCTGCCACCAGCCATGGCAAAGTCTTTGGTTTAGCCTGAAAGAGTAGGAAGACATTTTGACGTTCTAAGCAGGGAATGACCTGACCTTCAAAGGAGACTCGTTGGGGCTGCTGTGGGGAATAGGCTGGCGGGAGTGCCTGGCGCAGGTGTGGAGGCCAGCGGGCCTGTGAGCCTGCGGGAACGCCACGGCCTCGCCGAAGAGCCGGCGGATCCTAGGCGCTCCCACACAGCGAGACCCAGAGAGGAGTCTCGGGAGAGTCCCCAGGTGCCAGGCCTAAGCACCGCTCCATACTTACATAAAACTGTAAATGCTGAAATGCACTCCAGAGATATGGAGACAAAAGAGTCAGCAGGTGGCCTGGTACGTGGGTGTGGGATGGGGCAGGGAACGCGGCTTGGCACCCAGCGGGCACTGGCTGTTGGACTGGCTGGGTCCTGGTCTTCCTCCCTAGGTCCCCTCAGCAAGGGTTCACCTCCAGGCCCAGCCGGAGGCGCTCCTCCCCCAGTGGGGTGAGCAGACAGAGCTGTTCCTTCCCAGGGTGCGTTCAGAGCAAGGGTTTGTGTCAGTACTGCCACCGTCACGACAGCACCTGAGAATCAGCCACAGTACCTGCATTTGAAATGTGACTAGAAATGCTGGAAGTTGCTGAGCTGTCTAAGGGTGTCAGTTGCTTCAAATCTACCTCTGGTTGAAATGTGATCACACAGCCTCTTTGTGAGAGCACTGCCCCGTAGACACCAGCTCTCCGGAGCTTTCCACAAGTTTCTAGTCACAGTTGGTTTGTAGTTCAACTACTTAGGTAAACCGAGTATTAATTTTGATATGTGATTAGAACATTTCTTTTTGTAGGCTTTACCGCCAGCACCTGTTCAGAATCACACAAATAAACATCAGGTATTCAATGCATCTCTTCAAGACCATATTTATCCGAGCTGTTTTGGGAATACTCCAGAGTGGAATAGTTCTAAGTTTATAAGTCTTTGGGGATCAGAAGTGATGAATGATAAGAACTGGAATCCTGGCACTTTCTTGCCAGATACAATTTCTGGTAAGGCATCTGTTCACATTTCTTAAGGTTTTCAATGCTCAGAGCCACGTAGCCTTGTTGCTCTCCCGTGGAGGCCCAGCGCTGCCGTGCCAGCCTCCATGCCCCTCCCCCACTTGCCCAGGGCTCCACGCTGTCTTCTTTACCCCCCTCCCTCCCCCAGACTCCTGCTGCTGAGAGTCTGGTCTCCGGGCCCCCTGTCGGCCCTTTAGTTCTCCAGGAGTGGTGAACACAGACCTTGGCCGCCGCACAGGGACAAGGTGACAGTGCCACCATCTGCTTAAGCGCTGTGATTCACTTCCTGTTCTCTGGCGTCCTTGTCCACCCTACACGGGCTTTCTCCCCAGATGTCCCAGCCTGAGGCCCAGATGTCACCTCAGCCACAGGGCTAGGACCACCTGAGAGGAGCTGACACCTCTACCTCCTCTCTCTCATCATGTGACCTGAGATCCTGATAACCCACACCCAACCCTGCATGTGCTCAGAGCAGACGCTAGACTCGACATCCTGATCTGTGCTTGGAGAGGATTTCTAGCTGTGTGACCTTCAGCAAGTTGCTTAGCCTCTCTGAGCCTCAGTTTCTTCATCTTTAGGATGGGATTAATGGTGGTAAGACATTAAATGATACTGAACAGCCCTAGCAGGAATTGGCACATAGCAGGTGCTCAATACATTTTTTTCTCTTGGACTGAAAACACTGTCCCAGAGGAGTCCCAGCTTCACTAGCAGCCCCAGTTTCCAGAGCTCCGTTCTCAGCGTGTCCTTAGGCTTTGCTAAGTACTGCTCCCTGAAAAGCCTTACCATTCCCGCCCTTCTCCACAGGAAGTGATATATTAGGGCCAGCACTCTCAGAAGCAAGACCTGAATCCCTTCCACCTCTACCTAGCAATGAAGCTCCAGACAGCAAAGAGAAAAAAAATGCTGCGAAAAAGAAGTGTTTGTACAATTTCCAAGATGCTTTTCTGGAAGCGAATGAAGTGGCCATGGCCACCTCCTCGGCCACGTCCTCCGTGTCGAGTACGGCCACCACGGTGCAGTCCAGCAGCAGCCAGTTCAAGGTGTCGTCCAGGAGGCCGCCTTCCATAGGTAAGGCCCTTGTGCGGGAGAGCGTCCCCTCTCTGCGCTGTCTGCAGAGCCTGGCATGTGGTGCTCCACCCTCCCCTCCGAGAAGTCATGCCCTTCTGAGCACGGGGCAGGACTTTCCCAGCAGCTGCTGTGTTCAGGAAAGTGCTGAGCAAAAGAAAGCAAATGTAGCCAACAGGACCGCTGCCACTCAGTCAGTCTGCTGACCGACAGAGTGACAGGGCCCGGGGCAGGGAACAGGCAGACGCAGGGCAGTTGTCTTGGGACTCTGGCGCCAGCTTTTAGGGGCCTCACCACTGCAGTGGAACAGTCTGAGCATCCAAATGATGATGAGCTGTCTTTAAGGAACAGGAAGTATTTCTCTCCCCCTCCCTTTTTGTATACTTTAGCCCTATTATACTGAAGTCCTTGTCCCCTCCCCCCATGAGTAGTGATCACCCTACATATTGATGAGGGGGGAGTAAGTGATGGATTCTAGTATGCTAACGAGTCAGGAATCAGGCAGGTGCCAGTCTCACATCTATAATCCTAACTACTCAGGAGGCTGAGATCTGAGTGTTGAGGTTCAAAGCCAGCCCTGGCAGGAAAGTCTGTGAAACTCTTGTAGCCACTAAACTGGAAGTGGAGCTGTGGCTCAAGTGGCAGTGTGCTAACCTTGAGCAAAAGAAGCTCAAAGACAGTGTCCGATCTCTGAGTTCAAGTCTCAGGACCAGCACCAAAAAAGAGAGAGAGAAGCCAGAAATGTGTAGCTGTACATAAAGCATTTCGTAGGGCAGATGCATTCCAGTAGACAGCTGCAGACACACGAAGGGTGGTCGGGAGAGCCACCACACTGCACCTCACCACAGGAAGGGCAGAGGTGGGCTCCCGACACAGGCAGTGCTGACCACATCGGGTGCCAGCCTGGGAACAGAGCATTCCCATGTCCAGAAGTGTCTATGGGGACTAAGCCATCATGGAAAGATGTGGGTGCTCCTCACCCTTGGAAGAGGCTGAGCCCTGTATCTTCACACATTAGGAATGTCTATTGCCATGAGATAAGATTTCCAGGATTTATGTCCAAAACCTTTCACCCAAATCTGATAAGATACAGTAAATCCAGATTGACAGTTAGCCTCTCAGAGAGTACCTGTCTCAGCTAGGCTTCAGTGGCTTACCCTGTAATTCCAACTGCTCAGGAGGCTGACATCAGGAGAATTGTGACCAAGGCCAGAAGTTTGAGACCGCCCCCCCCCCCATAGCTGTCATGTACCTGTCATTCCACTTAGCCTGGTGGCTCAGATTTGGAGGATTGCACTTCCAGGCCAGCCCAGCCAGAAAAATGGGCAACTTGCATCTCACTGGAGGGAAGCGGGCACCTGGGCCATGCTGCTGATCCTGGCAACAACCGAAGCCCAGAGTAGGCAGTTGTGGGTCGGGTGTGTGCTTGTGCAGGAATCCAGACCCTATTTAAGAAGTAACAAGTGAAAACAGCTCGAGGTATGACTTGGGGCAGAAGGCCATCCCAGCAAGCGTAGGGCCTGAGTCCAGACTACAGTGCTGCCAAAAACAAATCCCCTCCTCAGAGGAAAAAGTTTAGAGGCCTGATGACAGGGAGCTATGAAGATCTTGGGGACCGTGAAGTTGGATCGGGGTTCCCATGGGGTGAGAGCACTGTGCTGTGCCTGTGGGCTGGAGCCCAGCGGAAGCATCGCTCTGCCACCGCCAGCCGTTCAGCCCACGTCTGTGTGTGTGAGAAGTGTGAAATCTTGCTCACGCAAGGTGAGGGGTGGGGGCAGGGGGTGTTCTTGTGCTGTTCCTGCAGGTCTCTAGATGGAAGCATGCACAAAACAAAACTTGGGCAGAAAAGGTGTACTGAGCGTGATGCCTGTGTCTCCTCGGCCCTTGTCAGCCTCTCGCCTCTCTGCACGCAGGTGACGTCTTTCATGGCCTCAACAAGGAGGACCACCGGCACCCTGCACCCGTTGCCCCGAGGACCAGCCCCACAGGCCTCGCCCCCCTTCCAGGCCTCACCCCCACCGCCCTTTCCCCTGCCTCTACGCCTCACCTCACCAACCTTGCAGCCCCGTCATTCCCCAAAACTACAAGCACAGCCCCTGCATTTGTGGATTCACGGAAGAACTTGTGCCCCGCCCCTGTGGCCCCCCCGCCCTCCACTGGGGATGGCCCAGTCAGCGCTCCACCCAGTGTCTGCAGGTGAGCCCCAGCCCATCCCATGTGGGCCCCTCCCCCCCCTTCTCCCCTCCCCCCCCTCCTCTGGGCATGGCCCGTATTGCTCCACCCAGTGTCTGCAGGTGAGCCCTGGGCCCTTCCCCTGTGGAGGACGGGAGCCACTGCGCAAGCTGCCTCCCTTGCCCCACTGACGCTACAGAAACTTGTCAGCCATTTTTGAAAGGTCCAGTGAGGGACCAGGCCATGGCTGGCAGTAGAGACCCTGCCTGGCAAATTGGAGTCCGCAGGTTCAAATCCCAGGATAGGAAGAAAGACTTCAGTGAAATGCAGAATGAACACAAGGACCTTTGTGGCCTGTAGGCTCACCCATCTGCAGGCCACACAGCACTGGGGGCTGCCTCCTTTGCCACTGTATTTATCACACGTTGATGCCATTAAAAAGTGATAGGGAAGCACATACCACCCTCTCTCTTCAGGGTTTTTATAAAAAGACTACTGGGCACTGGTGGATCACTCCTGTAATCCTAGAGACTCAAGAGGCTGAGATCTGAGGATCGCAGGCAGGAAGATCCATGAGACTCTTACCTTCAGTTACCTACCCAAAGCTTTGAAACTGGAGCTGTAGCTCAAGGGGTAGAACGCTAGATTTGAGCAAAAGAGCTCAAGAGACAGTGCCAGGCCCTAGTTCAAGCCTAGAAGCTGCGCACAGAAGAAGACTGTTAGCTTTGGACTTGTCCCTGCTGCCGTACGGAGGAGGGGTGGCAGGGTGGGCAGGGCAGCAAGCCGAGGGGGATTTGGGGAAGTGCCCGTTGAGTGGCACTGTGTGGGTGCTGCAGCCACAGGCGTGTGCAGCTGTGCCCGCGGCTCCGCGCCCCCTCAGGAGCCTGTGACCTGCGCAGAGGAGCAGCGGGGCCTGGAGAACAGAGCTCAGCTAACCAGCTGTGTGTGGCTTCCAGTGACCCCGACTGTGAAGGACACCGCTGCGAGAACGGCCTCTTCGACCCACAGCGGGAGGACGGGGAAGAGAGTGCCGAGGAGGACAGCTGCTCCGAGCACAGCTCCAGCACCTCCACCTCCACCAACCAGAAGGAAGGCAAATACTGTGATTGCTGCTACTGTGAGTTCTTCGGACATGGTGGGGTAAGTGCAAGGCGTCTGGAAGCACTGACTTCAGAGTGTGCACCAGGAAAGTACATTGTGTGTGTAAAGCACTGGTGATGTTGTTGTTGGAGTCGGTTCAGTCTGGCATAGCACACACATGTCTAGATTGTACCTCTCCTAAGAAACAGGCTGTGTAGCCAGGCACCTGTGGCTCACCTCTGTAATCCCAGCTACTCAAGAGTATGAGATCCAAGGACCACAGTTCAAAGCCAACCTGGACAGGAAAGTCCGTAACACTTCTCTCCGATTAACTACCAGAAAACCAGAAGTGGCGCCGTGGCTCAAGTGGTAGAGTGCTCGCCTTAAGTTCCCAGGCCCAGAGTTCAAACCCCACAACCAACCAAGAAAAGAAAAAGATGTGCCAGTGCCGGTGGCTCACGCCTGTAATCCTAGCTACTCAAGAGGGTCAGATCTGAGGATCGCGGTTCAAAGCCAACCTGGACAGGAAAGTCCGTGAGACTCTTATCGCCAATAAACCACTAGAAAACAGGAAGTGTCTGTGGCTCAAGCTGTAGAGCGCTCGCCTTGAGCTGAAGAGCTGAGGGACAGCACCCAGGCCCAGAGTTCAAGCCCCAAGACCAAAAAAATAAATAAATAAATAAGTGTATGTGTGTATGCACACATGCACACTCGTGCACACGTGCCCATACCATGGCTTGAACTCGGGGCCTCACTCTCCCACTGAGTTCTTGTTCATGGCTAGTGCTTTACCATTTGAGCCATACCTCCAGCCTGTGCTTTTGTTGGTTAATTCAAGATCGAGTCTCAAAGACTTTTATGCCTGTGTGGCTTCAAACCACAATCCTCTGATCTCAGCCTTAAGGGGACTACAGGAGTCAGCTACCTGTCACCTGGCTCATCACTGAAGTTGTATAGTATGAGCTCACCCCTGTAATCCCAGCTCCTTGGGAGGATCAAGCCCCAAAGGAACAGCTCGAGACTGCTTACAGCCCGTGGCTGGGCACCGTGGCATGCACCTGTCAGCCGCCCAGCTGTGGGCAGCCTCATTGTCAGGCCAGCCATGGCAGAAGAGCCTGAGAGCCTGTGGTGCTGTGTGCCCGTGAGCCCAGCAGTGCTGGGAGCCTAAGATAGGTGGGTTTGCAGCTCAGACATTGCCCCTGTCTCAGAAGTGACCAGTGACGGGCAGGCAAGGTGGCTCAGCAGTAGAGCGCTTGCCTTGCATGCATGAGGCCCTGGGTTTAATTCTTCAGCAACATATACGCAGAAAAAGCCAGAAGTGGTATTGTGGCTTAAGTGGTAGAACGCTAGCCTTGAGCTGAAGAGTTGAGGGACAGCGCCCAGGCCCAGAGTTCAAGCCCCATGACCGACAAAAATAACCAGTGAAAAACAGGGCTGGGAGCATAGCTCAAGTGTAAGTAAATGAATGAATGTTGATGAAGTTGGGGATGTTTTCTGAATGCTCAGCAGCAGGAAGTTGTTAATTATGGCACATGTGTACAGCAGAGCAGCTGTGTACCCACACACCACAGCAGCGGGCAGGCTGTCACTGCTCATGCCAGTGATCACCTCTTGTTCCTAGGCAAAGGAGCTACAGGTGCATGCAGTTGTTCTTTTTCTTCAGTTCTGTCTGCATTTCCTAAAATGTGCATATGATTGTCAAAGTAAGAAATGTGTTGGTGGCTCACGCCTGTAATCCTAGCTAATCAGGAGGCTGAGATCTGAGGATCACAATTCCAAGCCAGCCTGTCAAAAATTAACCACCAAAAGTGGGGGGGGGGGGGGGGGGCAGGAGGGGCTGAGGAAAGAGATTCAGTGGTAGGACTGAGAGATCAATGTTTTTTTCTTGTCAAACACTGAAAATAAAATCTACAGGGGCTGGGAAGTTGGCTCAGTGGTAGAGCGCTTGCCTTGCATGCATGAGGCCCTGGGTTCAATTCCTCAGCACCACATAAGCAAAAAGAAAAAAGCTGGAAGTGGCACTGTGGATCAAGTGGTAGAGTGCTAGCCTTGAGCTGAAAGAGCTGAGGGACAGCGCCCAGGCCCAGAGTTCAGGCCCCACGACCGGACCCAAAAACAAAACAAAACAAAAAATCTACAGATTGAAAGATAAAAGGCTATTTGAGCCGGGCGCTGGTGGCTCACGCCTGTAATCCTAGCTACTCAGGAGGCTGAGATTTGAGGATCGAGGTTCAAAGCCAGCCCGGGCAGGAGAGACCGTGAGACTCCTATCTCCAATAAACCACCAGAAAACCGGAAGTGGCGCTGTAGCTCAAGTGGTAGAGCGCTTGCCTTGAGCTGAAGAGCTGAGGGACAGCGCCCAGGCCCAGAGTTCAAGCCCCACGACCGAAAAAAAAAAAAAAAGGCTATTTGAGCCAACTGATGTAAAAGATGCATCCCACTGAATAAAATAAAAAGTAGATCTGTCAATATATGTAATCCTTTCTGTTTGAAAAAACCTTTTTAAGCCAGGCATAATAGTACACACCTGTAATCTTAGCTAGGAGGTGGAGGTAGGTTTGTGGCCCAAACCTGCCCTAGACCCTATCTGAAAAACAAAGCAAATAAAGACTGGGGTACTACTAATAAAGTAGAACACTTGTGAGACTCTGAACTCAAGCCCCAGTGCTACAGAAATAAACTCATTTGTATATACTTCACCAAATTTTCATAAATATATGAAATTTGATGGGTAGACTCCAAAATCCAACTCTCGGTGACTTGGTGATGGGTTTGTCTTTTTTATGCCCTTTGTTTAGTTTTCACAATGATCATAAACTATTTAAATAATTTTTCAGAAAACTACATATTTAGAGGTAAGTTCTAAAACTTTGTTCAAAATTGTTAAAACTTGCTGGGCACTGGTGGCTCACGCCTGTACTCCCAGCTGTTCAGAAGGCTGAGCTCTGAGAATTATGGTTCAAAGCCAGCCTGGGCAGGAAAGTCCGTGAGGCTCTTATCTCCTATAAACCAGCAGAAAACGGGAAGTGGCGCTGTGGCTCAAGTGGTCGGGCACTCGCCTTGAGCAGTAAGGACTCAGGGACCCCAAGTTTAAGGCCCCATGACCCACAAAAAAAAAATCGTTTAAACTTGAAACCTAAATTATGTATTCTTATCTTAGCCTCCAGCTGCACCAACGAGTAGAAATTACGCAGAAATGAGGGAAAAGCTTCGCTTACGGCTGACCAAGAGAAAAGAAGAACAACCTAAGAAAATGGATCAGATCACAGAACGAGAAAGTGTTGTTGATCACCGAAGGGTGGAGGATTTGCTACAGTTCATCAACAGCTCAGAGACCAAGCCAGTGAGCAGTACTCGGGCGGCCAAGCGGGCCAGGCATAAGCAAAGAAAGGCAAGTGACAGCTGCGTGGCCGTTCAGGGTGGGCCGGGGCTTGGGAGCCTGGTTACACAGCTGCCCTGCTGCTGCACGTTCACCTCCGTCTCTGGTGGCCTGGCTGGAAGCTGGCTAAAACTGCGTGCCATCGCCCTTCCAGGCCTGGGCTCTGGGCCTCACTGAGGCTGCAGTCCCATGTCAGCAGCAGTAGGACAGTAGATCCTGCACTTCTGTCTGTGGGAACCTTCCCGAGGCTTAGAGGTGGGTCCTCCATGGTGGACAGTGGAGAGGGGCACCTGTGGTAGGAAACGGGCAAGGGCCTGGCCAGTAAAGACCTCAAAGCTAGGTCTGAAAGGCCCCTCAGCCTCCTCTCATCCTGACCCATGCACAGTCCAGAGGAGGGCGCTGTCAGCATGAGAATGGAAGCGTGAGGTGCTCGGCCTTACGGGCCGCGCGGGGGCCCGGCAGTGTCCACTATCCAGAGGGGGAGGGCATGGCGCACCAAAGAAGCAGCTGTCTGTTTGCCCCAGGGTGGGGTAAGGAAGTTCAGTGCAGTGAGCGAGCAGGGCATTCAGAGGCTGTGCTGCTGCTGCTGGTGCTGGTGAGCGAGCAGGGTGTTCAGAGGCTGTGCTGCTGCTGGTGGTGCTGGTGAGCGAGCAGGGTGTTCAGAGGCTGTGCTGCTGCTGGTGGTGCTGGTGAGCGAGCAGGGTGTTCAGAGGCTGTGCTGCTGCTGCTGGTGAGTGAGCAGGGTGTTCAGAGGCTGTGCTGCTGCTGCTGGTGCTGCTGGTGAGCGAGCAGGGTGTTCAGAGACTGCTGCTGCTGGTGGTGAGTGAGCAGGGTGTTCAGAGGCTGTGCTGCTGCTGCTGGTGAGTGAGCAGGGTGTTCAGAGGCTGTGCTGCTGCTGGTGGTGGTGAGTGAGCAGGGTGTTCAGAGGCTGTGCTGCTGCTGCTGGTGCTGCTGGTGAGCGAGCAGGGTGTTCAGAGGCTGTGCTGCTGCTGGTGGTGGTGAGTGAGCAGGGTGTTCAGAGGCTGTGCTGCTGCTGCTGGTGAGTGAGCAGGGTGTTCAGAGACTGTGCTGCTGCTGGTGGTGAGTGAGCAGGGTGTTCAGAGGCTGTGCTGCTGCTGCTGGTGCTGCTGGTGAGCGAGCAGGGTGTTCAGAGACTGTGCTGCTGCTGGTGGTGGTAAGTGAGCAGGGTGTTCAGAGGCTGTGCTGCTGCTGCTGCTGCTGGTGAGCGAGCAGGGTGTTCAGAGACTGTGCTGCTGCTGCTGCTGGTGGTGAGTGAGCAGGGTGTTCAGAGGCTGTGCTGCTGCTGGTGGTGGTGGTGAGTGAGCAGGGTATTCAGAGGCTGTGCTGCTGCTGGTGGTGGTGGTGAGTGAGCAGGGTGTTCAGAGGCTGTGCTGCTGGTGGTGGTGGTGAGCGAGCAGGGTGTTCAGAGGCTGTGCTGCTGCTGCTGGTGGTGAGTGAGCAGGGTGTTCAGAGGCTGTGCTGTGGTGAGTGAGCAGGGTGTTCAGAGGCTGTGCTGCTGGTGCTGGTGGTGGGTGAGCAGGGTGTTCAGAGGCTGTGCTGCTGGTGCTGGTGGTGAGTGAGCAGGGTGTTCAGAGGCTGTGCTGATGGTGAGTGAGCAGGGTGTTCAGAGGCTGTGCTGCTGGTGCTGGTGGTGGGTGAGCAGGGTGTTCAGAGGCTGTGCTGCTGGTGCTGGTGGTGAGTGAGCAGGGTGTTCAGAGGCTGTGCTGCTGGTGCTGGTGGTGAGTGAGCAGGGTGTTCAGAGGCTGTGCTGCTGGTGCTGGTGGTGGGTGAGCAGGGTGTTCAGAGGCTGTGGTGGTGGTGCTGGTGGTGAGTGAGCAGGGTGTTCAGAGGCTGTGCTGGTGGTGAGTGAGCAGGGTGTTCAGAGGCTGTGCTGCTGCTGCTGGTGGTGAGTGAGCAGGGTGTTCAGAGGCTGTGCTGGTGGTGAGTGAGCAGGGTGTTCAGAGGCTGTGCTGGTGGTGAGTGAGCAGGGTGTTCAGAGGCTGTGCTGCTGGTGCTGGTGGTGGTGGGTGAGCAGGGTGTTCAGAGGCTGTGCTGCTGGTGCTGGTGGTGAGTGAGCAGGGTGTTCAGAGGCTGTGCTGGTGGTGAGTGAGCAGGGTGTTCAGAGGCTGTGCTGGTGGTGAGTGAACATGAGCTCTCGTGGATTGTGTTCTCGAAGCTTATAGGGAGAGCAATGGAATGGCTCTGCTCTCTGAGCAGCCTGCCATCCCCTGGGATTGGCACAGTCAGGAAAGGACCGGGGAGGATGGCCCCATGTTGGGTCCACTTGTCCTGAACCACTGCCCTGGCCAGGACTCTGGGTGCAGACTCTGGCGGCTACCGTGCTAAAGAGGTCTGCACTGACTCAGTTCCAGCTGGCAATTTGGAGGCCTCTACTGGTCCCTGAAGATCTGAGCTTGCCCAGGGGAAAAAAAACAAAGTATGTTTCCAGCTGGGATGGTCATGGCTCTGGAGACCTTCTGGTGGTGTTCACTGGCGGCATCTGGGAACCTATTCAAGTGCTTTTTAGGGGTTCTCTCAGCCCAAGACCCCATGAGATGGTTGGGATCCAGTTAGCAAGCTCACCATTGAGAGGCCCAAGCCATGCCAGAGACTGCTCGGCTCTCACCCATGTAGGACCTCCCTGGCTTGGCCTGCCCAGCCATCTGTTGTGCATGTCAGCACACAGACCACTAACTATGCTGCTGGTTGAAATGGGAGCATCATTCCCCCGGAGACTGTCCGGAATGGGCTCGCCCCATCAGTCTGAGCTAGGCCATTGCCCAGAGTCAGTGTCATTGCCTGTAAAACCAGGCCAGACTGGATGCCAGTGGCTCACGCCTATCATCCTAGATACTCAGGAGGCTGAGATCTGAGGATGGCGCTTCAAAGCCAGCCTGGGCAGGAAAGTCCGTGAGACTCTTACCTCCAGTTAACCACTAGAAAACCAGAAGTGGAGCAGTGGCTCAAGAGGTGGAGCTTTAGCCTTGAGCAAAAAAGAGCTCATGAATAGCGCTCAAGCCCCAGGACTAGCAAAAAAATAAATAAATAAAAACCAGATTGGCAAGTGGCACACATCTGTAATCCCAGCTGCTTGGGGGCAGACCCAGAAGGATGACATTTCATGGCCAGTCCTGTAAACAAGCTGGGCGTGGTGGCCTTAGCTGCCGGGGAGATGAGGCAGCTCAGAGCCAGCCTGAGCAAAAGTATCCCAAGACCTTAGGAAAGAAGCAAATGGGGGCCGGGAAGGCGGCTCAGCGGTCGCGCGCTCGCCTGGCACGCAGGAAGCCCTGAGCACAGAGAAGCTCAGCCACAGAGTCCAGGCACTGAGTTCAAGCCCAGGACTGGCCAAAAAAAAAAGGAAGCCAATGGACTAGGTCCCAGTGGCTCATGTCTATAATCTTAGTTATTTAGGAGGCTAATGTCTGGAGGCTCAAGGTTTGAGGGCAGTCCAGGCAGCAAAGCTTGTTAGGCTTGGCTCTCGTCTTCTAAACAGTCACAAAAAGCAGGACTGGAGGCGTGGTTCAAGGGAGTAGAACACGTGCCTAACTAGCATGAGGCCCTAAAGTCAATCCTGAATACTGCCTCCCCCCAAAAAGCAGGACTGGAGGCGTGGTTCAAGGGGGTAGAACACGTGCCTAACTAGCATGAGGCCCTAAAGTCAATCCTGAATACTGCCTCCCCCAAAAAAGAAAATTTTAAGCATGATTATAGATAGGGTCTGAGGATATAGCTCAGAGAGAGTGATTAGTAGGGTGTATGACAGTACGAGGTTGGAACTCAGGCACTGGATGCCATTTCTGAGCTTTTTTGCTCAAGGCTAGTGCTGCACCCCTTGAGCTCCACTGATAGCTTTTTGGTGGTTTATTGGAGGTGAGAGTCTCATGGGGCTGGGAAGGTGGCTCAGTGGTAGAGCGCTTGCCTTGCATGCAGGAAGTGCTGGGTTCAGTTCCACAACAGAAAAGATTGGCAGTGGGGCTGTGGCTCAAGTGGTAGAGCAGCACTTGCTTTGAGCAAAAGCAGCTCAGGGACAGCGCCAGGCCCTGAGTTCACACCCCAGGACTGGCAAAAAAAAAAAATTGAAAAACCAAAGATTGCCCCTCAACCTCCCTCCTGGCAGAAAGCCCTTGCCTTGTAGATAGGCAAGGTCCGCAGTGCTGCGCAAGGAACTATTGGGACTAGGTGCATCTTCACGTTGTCAGCTTATTATTGCCGCTCAAAGTGTATGTGTTACTATGGAGTCATTTTTTTATCTTAGTATGTCTCAAGTTTTAGAATTCTTTTTTTTTTTTTTTTTTTGTCAGTCGTGGGGCTTGAACTCTGGGCCTGGGCGCTGTCCCTCAGCTCTTCAGCTCAAGGCTAGCGCTCTACCACTTGAGCCACAGCGCCACTTCCGGTTTTCTGAGTGGTTTATTGGAGATAAGAGTCTCATAGAGTTTCTTGCCTGGCCTGGCTTTGAAAGGCGATCCTCAGATCCCAGCCTCCTGAGTAGCTAGGATTATAGGCGTGAGCTGCCAGTGCCTGGCTGGTTTTTGGAATTCTTACATGGTCTTAGCCACCTTTCTTTTCACATCGGCAGCTGGAAGAAAAGGCACGCATGGAAGCCGAGGCCCGGGCACGGGCACATGTGCACCTCCAAGAGGAGCAGAGGCGGCGTGGGGAAGAGGAAGGAGAGGAGGAGGAGGAGGAGGAGGAGGAGGAGCAGCAGCATTTCAAGGAGGAATTACAGCGGCTTCAGGAGCTTCAGAAGCTAAGAGCTATAAAGAAGAAGAAGAAGGAGAGGCCAAGTAAAGACTGTCCCAAGTTAGACATGCTTGCTAGAAATTTCCAGGTAGTGACAGAGTCTGTCCCTAACTCTGAAAACATCCACAATGGCTCACTAGAGCAAACTGAAGAACCAGAAACCTCATCTCACTCCCCTTCCAGACAGGTGAACCACTCAGAGCCCGGTCCGGGGCCAGGAGCTGATGGGGACCCTACAGACTCCCTGGACCCTAGAGACTCCAAGCTTCTGCTCGCCAAGGAAGTCAGTGGGAAGCAGCCTGAGCCCCTTGCTTTTCTCTTCGACATGATGCATCATCACAAAGAGGGGAACGGCAGACAGAAGCTCAAGCACACCAGTAAAGCCAGCAGCGAGCCTCCTAGGAAGCTCACAGAGCCCCCCAAAGTTATGGAGGGGCATCCCAAGCCTCGGACCCAGACTGAACCGAAGGCTAAGATGTTGGATCTGGCTCCCTTAACTGAGCAGAAGAGAGAGGAGAGGAAAAGCAACAGTAACAACAACAACAAGAAGCAGCTGAGCCACCTGAGGGAGGAGAGGTTGAACCCCGCCCCTCCCCTGAGCCACCTGAAGGAAGAGAGATCGAACCCGGCCCCTCCCGAGTCGCCCTCTCCCAGCCAGCCTCAGCCTCAGCTGAACGGCAGGCCAACCCCAGCAGATTCTCCTCAGCCTAAGGGCAAGAGCAAGAAAAGTAAGAAGAAGAAAGGAGACCGAGCCAGCAGTTCAATTGGTAAGTACAGGGTGGAGGGGTAGTTTGGCCTGTGCTGTAGGAGGCGCACTGGAGGGAAGGAAGCCCTACGCACTGTACTGTACTCTGGCAATACACTGTAACTTTTCTATTCAACAGTGAGAGACAGTCACGCTTGTTACATTTTGTTATTTTGAAACAATTTTAGACTTGTCAAAAGCTATTTTTAAAAGTCCAGGTGCCCATGTTTCATGCCTGTAATCCTAGCTACTTGGGAGGCTGAGATTGGAAGGCTCGAGATTCATCCAAGACGGATCCAGCCACAGACTTTGAGAGATGGCTTTTGAGCGGATAGTTGGTGTGGTAATGCACGCCTGCCATCCCTGCTACTAACGGGAAGAGAGATGAGCAAGACTGGCCCAGACCAGCGGGCTAGAACTTTATCTCATAACTTGGGTGAAAAGAGCCAGAACAAGTAGTAGAGCACCTGTCTAGAAGCACAAAACCCCGAGTTCAGAGCCAGTGCTGCTAAGCTAACAAATAAATGCTGTTAAAGGCACACAAGTTTTCTTTAGAGTGTGTAGATACCCTAACACAGGGTTACCTTAAAGAGGAATGAATCATGTTTCTTTCTGGTATTTGTGTGCTATTGTTTTCTTATTTCATCCAGATCCCTGGTACATTTGGGATATATTCTTGGATATGGTATGATGTACAATCCAAAGTGTGTGTGTGTGTGCGCGCGCGCACGCACGTGTACTTACATATATATTTTGTACTAGTCTCAGGCCTTGAACTGAGTGCCTAGGCACTGTCCCTGAGTTTTTGTGCCAAAGACTGGTGCTCTACCACGAGAGCCATAGCTCTCTACTTTGTGCTTTTTGGTGTTTAATTGGAGATGAGAATCTCACGGACTTTTCTGCCTGGGCTGGCTTTAATCATGATCTTTCGCTTTCAACCTAGATAGCTGGGATGGTAGGCATGAGCCACCAGCTGTCCAGCCTCATTGTACTTTTGTTTGTGTATATCTGGTGCTGGAGATGGAACTCAGGACCTTACACATGCTAGGCAAGGACTTCACCTTCACCACTGAACTATGTCCCAGCCTCAGTGTAATTTTTTTTTTTTTTTGCCAGTTCTGGGGCTTGAACTCAGAGCTTAAGGATAGCACTCTACCACTTGAACCTCAGCACCACTTCTGGCTTTTTCTGTGTATGTGATACTGAGGAATTGAGCCCAGGGTTTCATGCATGCTAGGCAAGCACTCTACCACTAAGCCACATTTCCAGCCTCCCTCAGTGTAATTTTTTTTTTTTTTTTGCTGGTTGTGGGGCCTGAACTTTTGGCCTGGGCTCTGTCCCTCAGCTCTTCAGCTCTACCACTTGAGACCCAGTGCCACTTCTGGCTTTTTTCTTTTTGCTTATGTGGTGCTGAGGAATGGAACCCAGAGCCTCATACATGCAAGGCAAGCGCTCTACCACTGAGCCACCTTCCCAGCCCCTCAGTGTAAATTTTTATAAGTATACTGGTCCTGGGACTTGAACTCAGGACGTGGTTGGTATCCCTTAGCTTTTTTGCTCAAGGCTGGAACTCTGCCACTTGAGCTATAGTTTCTCTTCTGGCTTTTTGCTGATAAATTGGAGATAAGAGTCTCACAGATTTTCCTGTCTGGGCTGGCTTCAAACCTTGGTAGGATTAGACATGTGAGCCACAGCAAAGTGCCCCACTCAGTGTAATTTTACATTGATCACTTGTTGGAATGGCATTTTAAGTAATAACTAAAAATCACTTTCACCTGTGTGTGTGTATGTTTGTGTGTGTATATTTGTGTGTGTTTGTGTGTGCACGCGTGTGTGTGTGTGTGTTTAATATGACTAGTAAAGGTCTTACTTCTGTGGACATGCCACCTCATGTTATTATGTAAGTAGCATTGTTGAACGCTGCAGGTTTCCAGGTCCACCTGTTTCTGCAGGTAATGAAGCCTTTACCTATTCTTGAGGTATTATGCCTCTGTTTTCTCTGTGAAACTCACCCTTCCTAATCTAATAGAACCACTTCTGGTGTTTCCACATTCAGTAATACTGGCTTGGGAGCTCGAGTTTATTTATTTTAGTGAATAGGAAGATACCCAGTGAAACTTTACATTTCTTGAATGTGTTCCTAAGGAATACTGTTGAAATTTACCAGGTATCCTAGCCTCTGTAGGGATAGTCGTGGTTTTTCTTCTCAGGCTTGTTTAGATGATATATTAAATTACCCCATTTCCTGGCACCGAACCAGCTGCGGACCTCTCTGTAGTAAAAGCAAAGGCTTACTTTGCTTGCCATAATTTGGGATTTGGGTTATATTTAATGATTTAATGTATTTGACTTAAAAGTCATGATAAATACAGGTCTGTAACTTCTTGCTTTTTGGTCTTTGGTGCCTGAGTATTCCTTGTGTGTCTGTATTACACTTCCTTCATGAAAAGAACTGTGGAGTTCTTTAGATCCCTGGTGTCAGTGTTGTGGCACACGTGAGCCGTAGAAGTGGATGACCACAGACCGGCCCTCAGGGCCCTGGTGGCTTGGCGTAGTGGTTCCTTGCCATTCTCTTTCCAAATGGAAACTGGTACCGTATTTCTATGTAAATATTTTGGAGTACTGCCTTTCCATAGGAAACTTTCCTTTTCAATTATAATTTTAAATCTATTTAGATACATGTCTGTAGACTCATAAGTAGAGTCATAACTTACTTTAAATTTCTTTACAGTGGTTATTTTCCTCTCATCGTTTTTTTGGTGTTTTTAATTCATGCTATGTTTCTGTTAGTCCTATCCTTTATGGACAGTGCCATGGCATACACTTGTAATCCCAGCAGTTGGCAGATACAGGAAGACAACAAGTTCAGAGCCAACCTGGGCTACATACCAAGACTCTTTCCTAAAGACAAATATACATACATGCAAACATACATAAATGTATATATACAGACTTTTCTTTGGTTATTTAAGCACATTCACTTTTTTTTTTTTTTTTTTTTTTGCCGGTCCTGGGGTTTGAACTTAGGGGCTTGAGCACTGTCTCTGAGCTTTTTGCTCAAAGCCAGAGCCCTACCACTTTGAACCACAGCTCCATGTCTGGTTTTCTGGTAGTGATTTGGAGATGGGTCTTGTGGACTTTAGGCTTCAAACTGTCTCCCTCAGATCTCAGCCTCCTGTTGCTAGGATGACAGCCGTGAGCCCCCGACGCCCCGCGTGAACCCCCAGCGCGAGCCCCTTCGCTTTCATTGGTATTGATATTTTCTGTATCTTATATGTGCTGATTCTTTTTCTATGCATTTTCTTGCACTTACATTCCTAAAAATATTTAGTACTTAATAAAAAAAATTATGACTTCATACTAGCATATTTGTCTTAGCTTGTTTCCTGTTGCTGTAACAGAACACCTGAGTTTGAGTCGTCTATTAAGAAAATAGGTTTGTTTTGATTCCTAGTTCTACAGACTGATAATATCAGCAGGGTGCGCTGCTTCAGCGCAAGTGCAGACAGGCAGGTGCAGGGGCTTTAAACACCCCGTGCCCTTGTGAATCACCCCGCCCCTCTTCAGAGGGAAGTCTTGCTCCTTCAGGAAAGGCTGCATCTGTCTGCACACTGGCACTCTGCCCACCTCCCAGCCCGTGTGCATTTCTTGGGGACAAACTCAGACTGCTGCTGCCACCAGGATTTTTGTTTGTTTGTTTTTTGTCGGTTATGGAGCCAGAACGCTGGGCCTGGGCGCTGTCCTCAGCTCCTCAGCTTAAGGCTAGCGCTCTACCACTTGAGCCACAGCGCCACTTCTGGTTTTCTGGTGGTTTATTGGAGATCAGAGTCTCACGGACTTTCTTGCCCAGGATGGCTTTGAACCTCACAATCTTCAGCTCTCAGCCTCCTGAGTAGCTAGGATTACAGGCGTGAGCCACCGCTGCCTGGCTGCAAATCTCTTTTGAAGCTTGTCTGTGCTCTGTCTTGAGTTCAGGTTCCCACACAGCACCTCTGCCACCTTACATTGCATTTTTTTTTTTTTTGTCGGTCATGGGGCTTGAACTCTGGGCCTGGGCGCTGTCCCTCAGCTCTTCAGCTCAAGGCGAGCGCTCTACCACTTGAGCTACAGCGCCACTTCCGGTTTTCTGGTGGTTTACTGGAGATAGGAGTCTCACGGTCTCTCCTGCCCGGGCTGGCTTTGAACCGCGATCCTCAGATCTCAGCCTCCTGAACCGCGATCCTCAGATCTCAGCCTCCTGAGTAGCTAGGATTACAGGCGTGAGCCACCAGCGCCTGGCTGCTTTTTTTTTTTTTTTGCCAGTCCTGGGCCTTGAACTCAGGGCCTGGGCACTGTCCCTGAGCTTTTGCTCAAGGCTAGCACTCTACCACTTGGACCACAGCTCCATTTCCAGCATTTTCTGTGTATGTGGTGCTGAGGAATCGAACCCAAGGCTTCATGCACGCAAAGCAAGCACTCTACCACTAAAGCCACCTTCCCAGCTCCTGTATTGCTCTTCTTGCCACGTGTGTCCTGCAGGGAAGACATCTGAGTCTTTTTCTGCAGAGATAGTGCCCATGCCAGCTGGGTGTCCTTGGGGACGTGCGTGTGACTTGAGGTGTGTCACAGAGCAGGAGTCTCCGGGTGACACGAAGGTGACACAAGGGAGCTAGGTCGGGAGCGTGGATAGCATCTGTGCGATGCGTCTGAGCCAAGTCCCAGCCTGTAGCCGATCAGACATCTGAGCAGCTGGGCAGAGGTGTGACTGTCACGGTCCAGGTCCAGACCAGAGCGGGCAGCGGGATGCAAAGAGTGGAGGTCCCCACTAGTTAGGAAGAACGTTCCGGCATGCTGAAGGTAGGTGAGAGGAGAGCCTCTCGTGGAAAAGGAGCGTACTGGCAATAGACGCCTTAATTTACACCACGGAGATAACTACAGAGGGAGGCCATGTGTTCACTTGTGGTGCCCTGCCCAGTATGGCCTCTAGAACTCAGGAGGCCCTACACACCAGCCAGAGTGTCGAGCAGAGAAGAGAGAAAAGTTTGAGTTCTCAAACTTGGCTGAGGTTCTGGACAACCAGTGCTCTCCGGCCCCAGTCCTAGAGTGCTGCTCCTGCCTCCATGTGCGGGCGAGCTCCAGCCGAGCCCGCTGAGCCGCCGCCATGCCCTGCCTCCTCTTCATTCCCTCAGACTCGGGAGAGAGGCTTCCGGGGCCTCTTTGAAGGCCCTGACAGTCTGGCTGTCAGTAACATCCGAGGGAGTCTGGTTGCAGACTCATAAACAGACACCCTGAGCCTTCATCTTCCTCTGCCTCCTGCAGGATCTCTTTTTAGAAAATGTTTATCCAGTGCGTGAAGGTGTTTAAGCCGTCTTCTCTAGTAAGGTGGCTCCTGTGGTAATGCGGCGCGCCTCTGCTTCCTCTTACAGATGATGTCTTTCTGCCTAAAGACATTGACCTGGACAGCGTGGACATGGACGAGACCGAGAGGGAGGTGGAGTGCTTCAAAAGGTGATGCCAGGCTGCCCGCCACACGGCGCCGCTCCCGCTTGCCAAGCACACTGGCACGCTCTTCCCTGTCCCTCCCTGGCCCCTTGTCCTCAGTGAATTCCTCACCAACCCAGCTAGCTGAGGCTGGGTAGAATGGCACAGCCGCCCGGTGTTCCCCCTCCCCCAGCTGCGCCCACCAGCCCTCATCCATCCTGCACGTCCGGTTAGGCTCCGCCCACTGCCGCGCCAGGGCCCGGACCCTTCCCAGCACTCTGCCCTGCAGAGCCTCCCAGGGTATGACATCTCCCCACCCCACCCCGAGAGCCCGCTTTTAAGGAGAGAAGAAACGTTCAGTTATCGACTCCATTTTCCTAGAGGAAAACTTCCTCAACACTTTTTAGTGTTGCTTTATCAACTGTGTAAATTATAATAAAAACTTACTTTAAGCACAGTACAACAATTACCCATACTTGGAGTGTTAAGTGATCAGGGAAGCTGAAACAGGAGATCTTGAGTTCAAGGTCAGCGGGCTAGATAGCATCTGAAAAAAAAAATACCAGGGATAAAATGCATTGGCTAGAGATGTAGGTAGTGGTAATATGCACAAAGCCTTGAATTCAGTCCCTAGTACTACACGAAGAAAAAAGAAGAGCTCCAGCGGCTCACGCCTGAAATCCCGGAGGATCACAGTTCAAAACATTTTTTATTTTTCTCCTTTGCTGGTACCAGGACTTGAACTCAGAACCTCAAGCTCTTGGCTTTTTCACTCTACCACTTGATCCATGCCTCTACTTTCAGCTTTTTTCCCTGGTTATTTGAGGATGAGAGTCTCTGGGATCTGTCCGTGTAGCTGGGCTCTAAACCCCAACTCTGAGATCTCTGTCTCCCAGGTGTCACCACATAGCTAGGCCGACAGCCTGAGCCGCCAGCGACTGGCAGACTCTGCCCCGTCTGTGCATGCAGTGAATTGCTCTTGGATTGTTACTCACGTGTAGCCTTTTGAAATTCTGTTGTTTGTGGATGTATGTGTGCTCATGTTCACACACACACCTGAATTCCCCAGCCTTGGGAGGATGAAGCTGAATGCCGGTCTAGAGCTCAAGGCCAGGACTGGAAACATGGCTGGGGATAGAGCCCCTGCCGAGCAGCAAACAGGAGCCCACCCACTCCCCTACCCACCCCCAAGGAAAAAAGATCTTAAATATCAAAAACCAACCTTTTGGCTGGGAGGAAGCTCGCTTGGTGGCCAAATGTAGGACTTGAGGTCCTAGGTTTGGTTCCCCAGCACCAGTTCTAACCCAGAAGGGTGAAGCTTTTAATAAGGAACAAATGTAGGTGCGCGTGTTTCTGGTCTCAGGAGAGAAGGCTTTCTTTCTTGGCTCGTGCTTGCTAGGCAGGCTTCTGCCACTTAGGCCACACATCTCTTTTCCACTGTAGTTGCTTTTCGGATAGTGTTGTCTTTTGCTTGGGTTGGCCTCAAACTACAGTCCTTCCTTCCGACCTCCTTCCAAGTGCATTGGCTTGCCGGGCACTGGTGAGTGGCGCATGCCCACAGCCTGGCTACTTGGGCTGGCACTCTACCCCTGAGCCACAATGGCACTTCTAGCTTTTTGGTAGTTAATTGGCATTAAGAGTCTGATGGATTTTTTTTTTCTTTTTTGAGCAAAAATGCTCAGGGATAGCTCCCAGGCCCTGAGTTCAAGCCCTAGGACCTGCACAAAACAAAAAGACAAAGGGCCAGGTAGGGTGACACACATCTGTAATCCCGGCTATGTGGGAGGACTCGGTAGGAGGCTTGTGGCTTATGGTCCGAGGCTGGCCCCAGGCAAGAATGCAAGAGCCCATCTGAAAATAGTACTAAAGCCAGAAGAGCTGGGGGTGTGACGCAGTGGCAGAGCATCTGTGAGAGGCCCTGAGTCCCAGACAGGACTGGGTGGGCTTGTTGGCTGTTCTCAGATGGGCCTCCCACTGCCCGCATGCCTAGGCCGACCCTCCCTCGTACGGTGCCTCAGTGGTCCCTTGAGGGTGGCAGAGGGTGGTGGGTGACCTCCAGAAGTGGCTTCCTCCCCGGGACAGGGCCCCAGACCTCCTCACAGAGACAGGCTGGTGAGCGCAGTCCTCAGCCCGGTGGGCCGGGCCCGCTGACTCGCTTTTGTCTTTGCAGGTTCTGCTTGGACTCTGCTAGACAGACCCGACAGAGGCTGTCCGTCAACTGGTCCAATTTCAGCCTGAAGAAAGCCACCTTCGCCGCCCACTGAGGGGGACTGCCTGAGAGGGACGTGGGGAAGCAGCCGGGCTGCGCCACCCCTCGAGCCGCGCCCCGCCTGGGGCGCGCCGGGCACGGGCCGGGGCTCCTGTGCCGCGCATTGTGGGCTGTGCGCAAGTCCTCTGCCAGCGAGCAGCGAGCGAGGCCTGCCCGATGGCTGCTCTGTGTGGGACTGGAAAGCCTCCATCCCACGCCTCAGGGCGGGGCCCGCGTCCCCACTGGCCTCCTGACCTCTGCACCCACCCAGTCCTGTCATCTGTCCCCAGGGTGTCAGCCTGTCCCTCTGCTCCTGTGCGCCCTGTGGCCCACCCTTGGCGGGCTGGTGGGCAGGCCGCCGTTGCCCTCCAGTCTACTGTCTCTGAGTGTACACGTTGCGCTGTGTGTGTTTGACCCCTGACTTGTAGCCAGCTTGTGTAAGACCCCTTGCAGAATGAGAACGTTAAAATCAAAAACCCACCCAGTACTCACACCATCCAGTCTGTTCTAGAGCGTACGACCGTATTAACACGGAGGCCTGCCTGGCTACTTTTTTAACATATTGTTAAGTAATATTAAAATCATGTCTTTCTTTTTGAAAGATGGAATACATTAGTACAGCAGGAGACGCAGTCTGGTTGCTTTCTGCTGGGGGCAGTGGGCATGGGGCGGGTAGGGGACAGCGAGGACGGTGTCAGGTCCTCCACCCCCTAGAGAGCCGGGACCACCCCCCCCCCAGCAGTGGGCATGAGGAGGCAGCCCCCCCCAGCAACTCCTCCCCCCCCCTCCCGTCATCAGGCTGGGAGTGGTGGAAGGGAGGGCTGGCCGCACCTGGGGTGGGACACTGGGCTGTGGCCCCAGGGACACAGGAGTGGGCCACGTGGGGCTCCTCACAGAGCGCTCGCACAGGCCAGCACGTAGCTAGGATAGAACGCGGATCTGTATGGAAGGGGGTGCCTGTTTAATCGGGTACAAACTAGGGTCAGACTGAATAGTATGTACTTAGAACAAAAGGAAACAGACACGTGTTCCCGGAGCTTGGGAGGAAGCCTCCTGTGTTGGCCACGTGCACTCCTGGGGGCCCTGCGAATTCCGGGGCGGGGCGCACACTCCTGGACGTGTGCACGCACTCCTGGCGCCCCCCCCGCAAGCAGGTCCGCACGCCTGGAGACGGGGCGGGAATGCGCTCTGGAGGCCAGCCAGGGCAGGAAGTGCACTGGGCGTCATGGAGTCGTGGAGCGGCAGCACTGAGCGGCCTCATTTATCTTGGGTTTGTCTCTGGTGGGAGAAGGCGACCTCTCCCCACGGGGCGGCTCAAGGGGAGAAGCCGCTCCTGGGAGGCCAGGGACCTGGTGTCGTTCCCTATGGACGCCGGGGGCCTGGTCAGACAGGTTGGGACCTGCAGCTGTGCGGGGGGCCATGCCACTGCGGCCTCTGCCCCAAGCACCTCACCATTCACAGGGCCGCGCCCACTGCTGTGGAGAAGACACAGCCGTGTCGCTGCTGCCAACATCAAGGGGACGGTTGGGACCAGGAGTGGAGCTCAGAAACTGACCGTCCCCGCAGTCCTGTCCTCAGAAAAAGAAACAACAACACAAGCTGGGCGCACGGGCTGGAAGGCCCTGCGGGGCGGGCGGGGCGGGCGGGCGGGAGGGGCGGAGGGGCTGAGGCCGTGGAGAACCAGGCCCAGCGCCTGCTGGCGGTTTCACACCCAGTCTTTCCACTTAGGCTGGAAGCTGGACCCTTGGGCCCCATTGGCCACTGCCCTGGGGGGGGGGGGGGCCTTGAACAGACTTCACTGAAACAAGCCAGTCCGCCAGCAGGCAAGGATGGGGTTAAGACTCAGAGCCACAGTGAACACATCGGAGACCCCCGGTGGGTGCACCTACAGAGCCCTCCCCCTGTGCTCCCCACACAGGCAGCAGCTTTGTGGTTGGACACGTGCCAGCAAACGAGCATTCTCTCCTTCCTGACTTTACACATTCCATCCTGGCATAGAGAGGAGCTGCCCAAGGCTGCTCAGAGAGGGCGCTGGGAGCGGCCGCAGGGCGCTGTCCCGCACAGACCGCGTCCCCCACGGGACGGATCCTCAACACAGATGTGTCACCCACTTGTACTGTGGCTGACACAGGTCACTGAAAGTGGAAAAAGCAGAGCTAAGGATAGAGGACAAATACGCGTTTTCAAAAGCCAAGTTTCCAACAACCAGAAAGTACGAAGCATGCAAAGAAAGCACACCCATCCTCCAGCGGGGTGTGTGCGCGTGTGTAAGACAAGTGTCAGCTCTACAGACAGCCATTAGAAATGTGCTCACAGAGGTAAAGAAAGTCATGGTTAAAGAGGCAAACTGGTGAAATGGCTAAGCTATATCAGCGCAGATAGGGTTTGTTTTGTTTTCCCCTGAGTCAATAGGAATTATTTTCAAAGAACCAAATGGAAATTGTGGAGCTTGGAACATAGAGGAATTAAATAAATGAACTAGCAGGACTGGTATTGTGTAGTGGCTCCTGCCTGTAATTCTGTCTAGTCTACAGGCAAGAGAGATGGAGGACCGTGGTTTGAGGCCAGCTTAGACAAAGTAAAAATAGGAGGATCATATTCCAAAGCCTGCCTAAGCAGAAGTGACTTTTTTAAACCCCCTCCTCCCCCAAATAAGAGCAATTTAGGAATAAATTGCCGGGTGCCAGTAGCTCACCCTGTAATCCTTGCTACTCAGTAGACCGAAGCCAGCCCAGATCCATAAAACTCTGATCTCCAATTAATCACCAAAAGCTAGAAGTGGAGCTGTGGCCTTGAGAAAAAACTCTCAAGAACAGTGCCTAGACCCTAGGACGGGCACTAAAATAACGCTACAAAACAGTGTTGAAGAAAGCCAAATCTAAATATGAAGACATGTTGTTGAGATGTATGTCAGAAGTTCTCAAACAGAACAGACCCCCGTTATAGCCCAACTGACCACCATGTAAAAAACGATATGATTTTGAAATTAATGCAGCACTCGGAACAGTCAAGTTGGCCTTTCACCTTCCTGCTGAAGAGAAAAACAAGTCAAAAATATGGGAACTTAGCTGGGCACCAGTGGCTCATGCCTGTAATCATAGTAGCTACTCAGGAGGCTGAGATCTGAGGATCTCAGTTCAAAGCCAGCCCAGGCAGGAAACTACGTGAGATTCTTGATCCTCAATAAACCACCAGAAAACCAGAAGTGGTCCTGTGGGTCAGAGTGGTAGAGCACTAGCCCTGAGTTCAAGCCCCATGGCCAACAACAAAGAAAGTATTCAATTTTTCTATTTTATTAACTTTTCAAACAATACTATTTTAGTGTTACCTTAAAGATTATAACTTCTTTAACTTTACTAAAGTCCACCTTAACTCATTGCTAACACTTTGCTACTCATTCAACTCCATTAAACACTCTTCAGTGTAACAAGATGTCAAGTGTTCTAAATCACTAGCTGGGTGCCAGGTGACTCACGCCTGTAATCCCAGCTATTCAGGAGGTAGGTCTGAGGATAGGTTCACATCCGGCAGCGGCAGGCAAGTCTGTAAGACACTCATCTCCAATTAACCAGCGAAGAGCCAGACGTGGAGCTGGGGCTCAAGTGGTGCCAGCGATGAGTGGAGCCCAAGCAAGATCACAAAGCCTAGCACCAGTGCAGGAGATCAGACAATAAAAATAAACCCTCCAGGGCTGGGAAGGCGGCTCGGTGGTGGAGCGCTTGCCTCACATGCTCGAGGCCCTGGGTTCGATTCCTCAGCACCACATAAGCAGAAAAAGCCAGAAGTGGCGCTGTGGCTCAAGTGGTAGAGCGCTAGCCTTGAGCTGAAGAGCTGAGGGACAGCGCCCAGGCCCAGAGTTCAGGCCCCACGACCAACAAAAAATAAATAATAAACCCTCCATACTCCCTCATATTTACCCACAGGCCTGCTCTTCATGCCTTCCTACATTCCTGTTCTAGCCAGAATCATTTTCCTTTAGCTTGAAAACTAAACTTACAGTATAGGTTTGTCTCACAGAAGTCTGCTGGCTGTTGCTCCTTGGCTCTCATGTCTGTGGATCCATGGATCTTTCTGTGGCTTTCAGTGTCTGTGGGGCTTGGATTTCTTGCCTGTTGGACTTGTGTTCTAACGTAAGTCCCTGGGTTCGGGGTCGTCTTGTGCCAGCCAGCAAGTAGCCGCTGGCTACCTGCCTGCCGCAGGCTGGGTTCTGTGGGGCAGGGCTGTCTGATTCTGCCCTGGGCTCTCCACTACTCCTCACGTATGGCCCCCCAGCATTCCAGGGGGAGATCCTCCGGCTTCCCCGGGGTGACATCCTCAATCCCCTCAGGACAGGGCCACTGAAATCGCTGTCTGTTCATGCCTCCGGCAGCTGCTCCCTCCCCTGGCTCATGAACATTTCAGGGTGACCCAGTGATTTGGGGGTTCTCCCTGGGTCACCTCTCTGGTTCTCAGGTTCATACGAGCAGGTGCACTGCGAGCCCCCCGACCCAGGCCAGGGACGCCGAGGACTAGGCCCAACGGAAAGTAAGAGGGGTCCACGCAGGCAGGAAGGCCAGTGTGGCTGGGTGGTGGTGGCTCACACCTGGCATCCTAGCTATTCAGGAGGTTGAGATACGAAAATCAAAGTTCAAAGCCAGCCGAGGCAGAAAAGTCCCCATGAGACTCTTACCTCCAATTAACCACTCAAACTAGAAGTAGGGCTGTGGCTCAAGTGGTAGAGTGCTAGCCTTGAGCAAACGAAGCTCAGGGAGAGGATCCAGGCCCTGAGTTCAAGACCCACAACTGGCAACAACAAAAAAAAAAAGTCGGAGGGGGGGGAATTGGGGATGTGGCTCAGTGGAAGAGCGCTTGTCTAGCACACATGAAGCCCTGGGTTCAGTTCCTCAGTACCACATACACAGAAAAAGCCAGACATGGTGCTGTGGCTCAAGAAATAGAGTGTTAGCCTTGAGCAAAAGAAGCTCAGGCACAGCGCCCAGACCCTGAGTTCAAGCCCAGGACTGGAAATAAAGACCAGTGTGTGAAGGGGCTGAGGCCTCCATCCCAGCTGCTAGGCAGCCCGGTGCTCAGCAGCCTGCCCCACCTCCTTTCCTTCCAGCCCCTCCCCCGTGCCCTGGGCTAGAGCCCAGGCCCAGGCCCCTCCAAGCCTCAGGCCGGTGTCTCCAGGCAGGGCCTTGTCTCCTCCCCTCGCGGCCAGCCGCACGCCAGAGAACAGTCCCATGCAGGACGCCAGGCGGGGTGAGTGCATTTATTCTCAAAACAGGTAGAACACAAGCGAACGTTGGCTGGGCAGCAGCGCCGGGGCAGCTGTGAGCCCAGCACAGTCGGTGCTGACCAGCCGGGCAGGGCGCGGGCTCCTGAGTCCCCAGAGCCAATGGCTTGCAGCCTCAGTGACAGCGGGAGACCAGGTACTGCCCACCCTGCACACTCCCGCCCTGGCCTGTGGTCCCTGGCCTTCTTGCGGCCACCAGGGGCCCATAGGGAGCTGTCAGGCCTGCCCCGTTCTGGGGGACCCCACATCCCACAGTCAGGGAGCCGAGTGTGAGCAGCACCTGGGCTGGGCGGGGCCGGGCTGGGCAGGGCAGGGCAGGGCCCGGGCACGGGGTCACTGGCAGCACTCCGACGCGTGCCTGAGCAGCTCCTCACCCTGCTCCTCACCGAAGCAGCGCAGGCAGCGTGGGCACTGGAGGGCGCCCTGGCCTGGCAGGGCTGCGTCGGAGCACCTGCCCTCTGCGGCCAGTGCCAGCTGCCCGGGCCTGGGCACCGTGGGCTCCGATGTATCCGTCTCCAAGGGTGTGGTGGCGGGGCCCGGCCGGCGGGGGTCCTGCAGGAGAGGCAGAGGCACTGGGTGCGGCCCTCACCGCGTCCGCAGAGGCCGGGCCACCCGGCCCGTGTCCGGCATCGCGCAGCCTGGGTGGCACGGGGCGTCCCTGGCAGAGCCCATGCGCTGAGGACACCTGCCATGCCACCTCGGGGCAGAGGCCCGGCTCCGGAGCCTGCAGCCCTTGGTGGGCCTCCGTGAGCCCAATACCAGCCGGTGTTCTCCGTGGGGGGCGGGAGTAAGTCACAGGTCAACACCGAGACCCTACGCCCACCAGCCACCTGTCTCCGGCGCAGGATGAGGGGAGAGCAGGCCTGGACCTGGTTCTGGTCACTGCAGTGGCCCCTGCCAAGGCTGTGAGCAAACTCCCATCCAAAGTCACATCAGAAAACGTCCTGCTCAGAGGGCTTGCCAGGGATTCCGTGCCCACCCGCAGCCTGGGGACCTAGGAGAACCAGGAAAGTCGGGGAGCTGCCAGGCATCACCTGCCGCACACCCCTGAGATGCCCCTGCCAGGCTGGGCAGGCAGCCCTGCAGCAGCCCCGTGAGATGAAAGGAGACAGGTCTCCAGCTCAGTCCCCAGCCGAGTCTGGGTCCCTGCTCCGCACTTGGTCCCAGGGAGCTGTCCAGAGGGCGGGGCCACGATTCTCACCTCCTGCGCAGGAGGGAAGGAGGTGGCCGCAGAGGCCCAGGAGAGCCGTGGGGGGCTCGCACACCCTGGCAACGGCTGCCCCAAAGCCACCTCTGGCTCCTCTGACTCTCAGAGGCACTGTGGCTGCCATCTGCATCAGGACAGGAAGATTTCTGTGCCGGTCCTGGGGCTTGAACTCAGGGCTGAGCGCTGTCCCCGAGCTTTTTTTACTCAAGTCTGGTGCTCTACCACTTGAGCCACAGCCCCACTTCTGGCTTTTTGGTGGTTCATTGGAGATGAGTCCCAGATTTCCCTGCCCAGGCTGGCTTCAGATTGAGATCTTCAGCCTCCTGAGCAGCTGGGATTACAGACATGAGTGCCAGTACCTGGCTAGGCCAGGGAGTTCTTTGAAGGGGGCCAGGGCTTACCAGGGCCCAATTATGGCCCCCATTTCAGCACCCAGGCTCGTGTGAGGGGTGCGCTGGGGGCAGATGGCCTCGCTGGCTAGTGCAGGGCAGCGTGCAGCCTCTCCGCTCACCACACGGCAGGGGCTCCGCACCACGCCTGGCCCCAGGGACCGGACAGGTGGCACCAGCCGCCTTGCGGCCACAAACCAAGGTCTCAGGAGACACAGAGAGGCCCAGAGTTCTTGCAAAGAAAAACCAAAACGCTCGCCATGGGGGAGAAGCTGCAAACCTACCTCTGTCCGGGACACCTGGTACAGCAAAGAGGAGACCTTCTCCTCCAGAGCTTGAATCCGACAGTGAGCCCGCTCCCGATCGGCCCTTTCTGACTCGAAGTCCTCCTTGTAGGTGAGGATCTGCAAGGAGAGAACTCAGTTCTGCTCTCCGAAGGAGAGAGTCCTTACCGGGCTCTGCCCACTGCCCCCATCCCTGGGGCCCTTCCTGGCCCTGCCCTGCTGCCCGAGTCCCAGGACACCTGCTGCTCCAGCATCTGCACCCGCTCCCGGGCGGCGGCCAGCTCCTGCTGTGCGGCGTCACAGGCCGCGATCCTCTCCTCCAGCTGTCTGTTGAGGCGGGAGATCTCCTTCCTCGCCTGCGCGGCGGCAGGGGACCCCTGCAGCCCCCTCAGCTGCTCCTGGAGCCCTCTCACATACTCGTCCCGGCTGGCATCGTAGCGCTGCCACTTGGCATTGAGATCTTCCACCTGAGGAGACGGAGGAGAGCTCAGCGTGGCCTGCCCCGGGGCTATTCACCACCAGTGCCCGATGTGGGTGGTGTCTGCCGCTACCAGAGACCCCAAGATGCAGGTGGAGACGTGCCATCACGATGACACCCTACATCCGTGCTGTCCACCTTACACAGAAGTCGACTTAGTCCACTGTCTTGTTTAAGTGTCCAAGCCAGCTGGGTACCACTGGCTCCACCTGTAATCCTAGCTACTCAGGAGGCTGAGATCTGAGGATCGCAGTTCAAAGCCAGCCCAGGCAGGAAAGTCCATGAGACTCTTATCTCCGAGAAACCACCAGAAAACTGGAAGTGGTACTATGGCTCAAGTGGTAGAGCGCTGGCCTTGAGCTGAAGAGCCCAGGCCCAGAGTTCAAGCTCCATGCCAAAAAAAAAAAGCAGCTCAGGGACAGTGCTCAGGTCTGAGTGAGTTCAAGTCACTAAGAAAAAAAGTTCCATCTCATCAAGTAAAGGAGACATGATGTGCACACCTGTAATATCCCAGAAGAGGTAGGAGGAGGACTGAGCGAGGCAAAAGCACAAGACTCCATGTGAAAGACGAAGCAAAAAGGGCTGGGAAGGTGGCTCCAGTGGTAGAGTGCTGCCTGTGCGTGTGAAGCCGAGCTCAAACCCCAGTACCCCCCAAGCCCTGTATTCCCCAAGGTCATTTGTACACTTTGGTTAGGAATGAATATTCGTCCGGGCCTGGAGGACAAGATGTGCCCTGTCCATCCTGTTGGGCAGAAAGCCAAGTCTCAGGGGGCAGCGGACAGTCACCATGGCCCCCACGGCCATGGCGCGCTGAGAGCACAGGAGCCACGTGCCAGGGGCAGATTCCTCTCGAATGGAAAACTAAAGGAACTCACCTGAATCACCTTCTGCCTCAACAGCCGGTTTTCTTCCTGTAACTTTCCAATGGCGGACTGGCTGGAGGCATCCCTTCCAGCATGCTCCGGCTGTGGGAGGAAGGACCGGGGAAAGCCTGTCAGGGCCTGGAGCCGGGATGCAGCTGGGGCCACCGCCCCTGCCCCGCAGGAAGCGGACCACGCCTGACCGGAGGGCAAGGAGAAGGCCCGGGCCACGCCCACTGGGGCCGGCAGGACCCGAGGCCCCGCCCCTCACGGAGCCCGGGCCCACGCCCACTGGGGCCGGCAGGACCCGAGGCCCCGCCCCCCGACCTGCCCCTCCCTCACGGAGCCCAGGCCACGCCCACTGGGGGCCGGCAGGACCCGAGGCCCCGCCCGCCGCCCCGCCCTGCCCCTCCCCTCACGGAGCCCAGGTGAATACTCTGGTGCGGTCCAGCGGGAAGGGGAAGCTAATTGCACACTGGGCCTCCTGCGGCCCCCAGGCCTGGCTGCACCTCCGTCCGAGTTCCAGACCATCGGGCTGGCCCTTGCGTGCCCCTCGCCCGTCCAGGCTGAGACTCAGGAGCTGCGGGGCTGTAGCAGCCGCTGCAACCCCACAGACATCTCACCAGACGCCACGCGCTTTGGCTGCCAGGAGGCTGCGTGTCAGCCACGTGACTCCGAATTCCCCTTGAACAACAGGAAGTGCGGGAAGCCCCGGTGACTCGGCGGAGCCTGGGCTGAGAGTGACACCGACCCGGAGCCGGACAGTCGCTGCGTGTGCCCACCTCGGGTGACCGCTGCATGGCCACATCCAAACCCCAAGGGATGTTAGAGTGACAGGCTGGGACACGGTGCACCCGCCTGAGCCCAGAGGCCCCCGGCATTTCCTGGCAGGGCCGCTGGTGTCTGGGGACACACAGAGCAGTGCGGAGAGTGCGGAGGGGACGCTGCGCCTGCAAAGCAGCCTCGGCTGGCTCAGGCTTTCCTGCTTCCACAGGCCCCACCCGGAGAGGTGCTGTGACCCACGGCACCACGACCCACGGCCGCCTACACCGAAAGCCTCGGCCAGGCGTGGCCCTGACCTGCGTGCACACGGCCCCGCCCCGCGAGCGCCGCCCGCCCCACCGCCACGCCCCGCGAGCGCAGCCCGCCCCACAGGCCCCGCTGTTGCTCGTCTGTTGCACCCTTGCACACCTTTCATGGTGTCCAGCGGGGTTCACACCCGGAGTGTGTGTGTGTGTGTGTGTGTGGTTGCTGCTGCTGCATTTGTGCTGGTCCTGGGGCTTGAACTTGGCTTGCACTCTCACATAGCTTTTTTGCACAAGGTCAATGCTCTACCCCTCAAACTACATCTCCACTTCCAGCTTTTTGCTGGTTAACTAGATATTCACATGGAGCTTTCTATCCTAGCTAGCTTCAGATCTCAGCTAGATTTATAGATATGAGCTATCAGATGTGCGTGCGCGTGCGCGCGCACACACACACACACACACACACCAATCCTGGGCTAGAACTCTGGGTCTGGGCACTGTCCCTGAACTTTTGTGCTCAAGGATAGAGCTCTAGCACTTGAGCCACAGCTCCACTCTTGGCTTTTTTGGTGGTCAACTGGAGATATGCATTTCACAGACTCTTCTGCCTAGGCTGGCTTCAAACCTTGATCCTCGGGTCTCAGCTTCCTCCCGAGCAGCTGGGATGAGGGCGTGAGCCACTGCGGGCTGGTTTCCAGTCACAGAGACACAGAACTGACCCCGAGGCCAGGGTGAGTGAGCGAGCTGGCGGCCACCACGCTGCTGTCATCTGGGAGGCTGGTCCGGTAGGTGCAGGCCTGGGTCTGGGCCAGCCCTGAACCCTCAGCGTATGGAGCAAGGAGCCTGCAGGGCACAGCACTTGGGCCTCGCCGCAGCTTTAGGCCCCACTGTGTGTGTGTGGACCTGGGAAAGCCCTCCCTCTCCCTGCAGCATCACCTAGCTCTGCCTCAGTTTCCGAGTCTGTTCAGCATGTGGTGCAATGCCCCGGCATATCCTGGGAGCAGCCGCTCTGACTTCTCAGCCTCAGCAGGGCAAAAGAGACCAAAGAGCCGTCGCCCAGCCCGAGTCCAGCTCAGGTGCCAGCAGGGCTGGGACTGCAAGGCAGGCTGATGCCACCAATCCCAGGGGGCCGCTCTGCGCCGCCGTGGCCTCTCCTCACTGAGGCCAGGGTGGGCCGCGGCTCCCTGACCTCGAGACGCTCCCACCCACGTGCCACTAGGCTCTGCAGGCTGGCTTACCTCAGGGTTCCTCCTCGCCACCTCCCCCTGCGCTCGCTGCTGCTCGGCCAGCCGGCCAGTCAGGTGCTGGCACACGTGGGTGGTGGCGGCCAGGGTCCGCTGCAGCTGCTGGGTCTCGGCAGCCAGGGAGCGGCACAGGACGCGGCTGGCGGCCTGGGCCCGTTCCTTCTCCTCCAAGCGCCTCCGCAGCAGGACCACCTCCTCCTCCCTCTCCTGCTGAGGCTGGTTCAGCAGCTGCCGCACCTCCCGCTCCCTCTCTTCCAGTCGCTCGGTCAGCCTCTCAACCTCCTAAAGAGATCGAAAAGCACAGTTTAACCAGACTTGATGCTTCACATCTGCAATCCCAACACTTGGAATAAAGAATAAAAAATGACTTCTGTCTGTAATCTCAGCCACTCAGGAGGTAGAGATGATAAAGATTTGTGGTTCAAGGCTAGCCCAAGGCAAAAAGCAAGACCCTCATCTCAGCAAATAAAATAGGCACCTTGATACAGATGTGTAATTCTAGCTACACTGGAGGCCTGGGAGGACCAAGATCTGAGGCCAGCCTTGGCAAATAACCTAAAGTCTGGGCACGCTGTGGTT